ATAAAAATGTTATAAAATCTTGAATCCATAACTAATTAATTTAACTACTTTTCATGATATTTTGGGAACATTTCAGAATTAAATCTATTACAAATTTTCAATGTTGACAATTAGTGGCAACACGGTCAAATAGCGAGCTGCGACGTCATAGAAATAAATTCTGGGTTTTTATTTGGAGGTATTTCTTTTTTTTCTGTTTTCTCAAGAAGGACTATGAATTTTTCAAAAGTAAAAATACAGAAAATTCTGTTTTTAGTTGCTTTATCCAAATATGCCAATTTCAAAAATTAGTGAAAGAGCCCATTCTGAAATATCATTAGCTACATCAGAAATATCTTAATTGCATCCATCTGTTTTCTCTTCCAATGCTTCAGCAATTGGTTCATTCAATGCCAAAATAGCAACCTCAGTTTTAGAGGTAATTTCTGATTGTCTAAAACTTCAATATCTGACTTGGTTTTGGTTTCTTCGCCTTCCTCTATGGCGTTTTCCCAGAGAAATCTTTAAACTTGCTGAATTGTCCAACTTATTCAAAGCAGTTATTGAATTTGAACGTACATACAAGAAATTCTTCATCTTTTTTGCGAAGGTTGAATTTGATATATCATTTTCTATTGGCTGGACTGTTTTGCACTGCTTCAAGTTACTCTTTTTATTCTTGGCGCCTTTTTTGGGAAACCTTTGTATACATTTTGTTAAAATCTTCCAAAGTGTGGACCCCATAGCAAAGAAGTTTTAGTTAGGGCTGTATGGTAAATATTTCCAATATTGAAATTGAAAGTAAGATCCTGATTGTAAGTTTCTCTTAAATCTTTCAAAGATTTTACTTTATCTAGCTAGCTATCTAGTTTCTGTCCAAGAAATACATATGAGTATATGAGGTCTGTTTTTAAAGAAATCACAAACCAGTCAGAGCGCTTTTGATCAGTGCAAATCACCAACAAACCGTTTTCTGACTATTTTCAACCAATGAAATTTGCTCTGAATGACTGGTTTGTGATTTCTGTGAGAACAGACCTAATAACTATAAGACTACATGAAATTTAAAAAATCTCTCACAAACATAATCAGGCAATAATCCTTTCCTAACTTTAAATATAAATAAATAAACATTGAACATTATTTTTTTGTTTCACAGACAAGATATTAAGGATATTTAACATACACACATCAAAGTGGTCTAGGGAACAAGATGATACGAAATTTTTTGCTGATTTTATTCATAAAATATTTAAACCAAACAAACTTGCGAAAAAAACCCATAATGATAAATTGATAAGATTTGTTTAAGAAATAATACCCACATTATCTTTAAACAAAAGTTGTTTTGTCTTAAAATTAAGACAGATATTTCTTGTCCCATAGACTATTTTGATGAGTGTAGTTTGAATCGATATGTGTATCGGTTACATTTTAATATAGTTCTCATGGTTCTGTTCTGGATAATTTGAATTGGTTCAAGTTTGAGGCGCGGCTATAATGACATTTTTGTATCAATGGACAAACTTTTCGATATTCTATAAATAAAACCTTGTTTTTTGGTAAAATTCATGACATAATCAGCATGCACATGAAAATTCAGGTTTGAATTGAAAATGACACCCTAGGTATTTAATTTCTTTCTCATGTACTAGCTTTATATTATTTATACAAACATTTAAGTCATCAACATTAGTAATTTTCAATAAGCGTCCTCTACCAAAAAGACAAAATTTCGACTATGTCATATTTAAACACAAGTTGTTGTAACAGAACTATTCAAATAAAGCATTTAGATCCTGATTAATTTTTGCCTGCATATCATTTAGTTTATCACCCACAATATAAGGCATTGTATCATCTGCAAACAATACAATATTACAATTTTTGAAAACATTCACAATATCATTTATGTAGAGAACAATTAATAAAGGGCCCAGAGCAGTGCCTTGCGGTACCCCATGTTCAATGGGTATACAATAATTAGACAGAGAACCATTGTATTTAGGTTTTTGCATTCTATTTGACAGATACAGCCTAAACCATTTGTGGACAGTTCCCCCAATACCCATTTTTCCAAGCCATCTAACTATATCCTTGAATTTTCTTCATCTTTATGATATTGTCTATAGTTGCTTTGATCTATTTGTTCCAGCCAGAAAGGTACCCAGTCTAAAGTTTCCTAGGAGGTTCAGTCGGGATCTTGTAAGTCTAACAATACAAAAGAAGTAAATCCGTTCATGACTGGGAAGTTTTTGCCAACCTAAGATCACAGTGGGCAGTCCTTTCCCAGGAATGTTATAGGAGTTTCGTCCAAAACTCTGAAAATTACCTTTCTACTAATTCAAAACCATTTTGGAATTTCTGTAATTCTAAACGCAATGCGCCTTAGATATTTAATCTATTCACTCTTGATAATAAAAGTCTCGATAAAAGTGCTTTCATGGGTCCTAATGCTGCCAACCTATTTGTAGGTTATTTTTCCTCAATCTACTCTGCCTGTAACCCACAATGCAAACTAAAGTTGTCATTATAGCTATTTATGTACCAAGGGGATTATGTGGATTATAATGCCCGAAGGCGAAACTAGCCCGAGGGATATATTTCGTCTGAAGGGCATTATAATCTTAAAATCTCCGTAATGCATACAATGCTTTATTTTCTACTCAACTCAATGTTCTTTCATCAGTTTATTAATAACAAAATCAATTAAACTTGTGTGACAGAATAGTGTTTTGTATTTTGACATGTATCTCAATCTGTACCTGTGACCTGTACCTGTGACCTGCACCTAAAAACGAAATAAATTAATATTTCTATAAACATCTCATAAGGCAAGGCAACGGTGGTGGTCGTGTGGGTTAACGCGCTGGACTACATGGGAAACGTTGATGGTAGACCGGGTTCGAATCCTGGCTAGACCGAAAATTATTTTCGGTCAGACATTTAGTGGCTGCCTAGGGTAAAGTGCAAATTAATAGAACAACAACAACAAAAACACCTCAGGGTATAAGCGGGCGTTATGGATCAGGTTGTTATAGGTATGTTAACGTATTTCGTTTCCTAGGTATTATGGATCTATAATAGTTAAGTAGAAAATAAAATCATATTAATGGTCACAATTACTGCATCTCCATATGTGACATATACACTGAGCTTATTAGCTTAAATCCTCACAAGAGTCCAGGCCCTGATAATATTCATCCTGTCTTTTTTAAACACTAACCCTTTATTCTCGCTAGGCCCCTATATGCATTATATTTAATAAATCTTTGGAAAGTGGATCTTTTCCCAAATTCTGGGAAACAAGTTTTGTCGTCCCAATACATAAATCTGAAGACAAGTACAACATAAAAAATTGCCGACCTTTTTGCATCATCAATACCATCCCTAACATTTTTGAAAACCTTTTAACTAAGTATCTAAGCTCCCTATTGGCTCCTGGAATCATTACCCAACAGTTTGGCTTCTGTGTGGGTAGAAATACTGAACTTAATTTCCTTACCTTTCCTCAGTTTGTATTGTAGGCCTTAGAGAGTGGAGTGGAGGTTCATTTCGTCTACACAGATTTCTCCAAGGCTTTAAATAAGGTTCCACATAATGTACTACTGATAGACTTAAAACGATGGGTATAAATAAACCCTTACTCTGCTGGCTGGACAGCTACCTTTCGAATGGGATTTAAATTGTAAATTAACATAACTATTTCTTGTCTAACGAAATTCCTGTGCCGTCTGGGGTCCCACATCGGACCACTTCTTTTTAATATCTTCATCAATGATGTCGCACTCTACTTTCAGTCTTCGGAGTTCCTTCTTCCTTCTGTTCGCAGACGATCTGAACATGTATAGAGTAATATCCGGTCTTGACGACTGCATTGCTAAGTGCAATCTCATGATATTTTCTCGTCGTACAGTTAAAACTAATTTTCATTATCTTAATGGTGCAACATTACCATTAGTTGTAAACTTAAAGGAGCTAGGAATTATTCTTGATGATAAGCTATCATTTTCCTCTAACATCAATCATTGGTAATTCACTGAGAATATTGGGTCTTATTAAACGTAATACTTCTAACATTGTTACTGTATGTTCCATCAAAATTCTATATTGCAATCTTGTAAGAAGTCTCTTGGATTATGCCACCTCTGTATGGGACCCTCAGTATGCTCTCCATATCCACAGAATTGAGCGAGTGCAGAAGAAATGTATGCATCATATTCATTTCATATTCTATAGAGACACTGAATATAACTACAAAGAAATGTGTCAAAGGCTAAATATGTCAGCACTTCAAGAAAGAAGAAGTATTCATGACCTATTCCTTCTTTTCATAATTCTCAACTCCCTTGTTGAATGTCCTTATCTCACCGAGTATCACTTCCAGCATCAGTTTACATGTACCACCTTTTAATGCAAGAAATATCCCAACCTTCTATCAACCATATCACTGCACCAACTATGGTCAAAATTCCTTTGTCTCCAAATCCGTGTTTCTTGCAAACCAACATCCGCTCCTTGATTTTTTCTGTCCACTTCAACTTTTTGGAAAGCACCTGTCACAGTTGAACCTTGTTAGATTGAAACCTATCTGTTACCAGTGTAGCCTGGCTCAATTCTTAATTCTTAACTTATAAAACTTTATAAGAATAGTTTACTTACATACACTCATGTACTTTGGAATATTATTGTTATCCTTTCTTTTTACTTCTTGCATGCACACCTCCACACTCAGGGCAATAGTATGTTAGAACCTCGGTTAGAACTTTTGTCTGAACAGTTAACACTAATTTTGCTTCATGATACTTCAGAGCAATTCTTGCAAAGCATGAGTCTACACATGTCACAGGGTCCACCAAATAGGCCCCTAATTTTTTTACCCTCGGTAAAATCCTTGAAGTCAAGTAGTATTACATTCTGAATGAGCATATATGCATATTCTAAGAGTTTTGTCTTGAAATGTAGTAATAGTCTTATCTATATTAGATATGAATGGACGATAATTTGATCTTTTATTTCAGTTATGGCAGATTGTCCGCACACAATCGGAGTGGAATTTGGCACGCGAATAATCGAAGTCTCGGGACAAAAAATAAAATTACAAATTTGGGACACTGCCGGTCAGGAACGTTTTCGCGCCGTCACCAGATCCTACTACAGAGGCGCCGCAGGCGCCCTTATGGTCTATGACATAACCAGACGGTCCACCTATAATCATTTGAGCAGTTGGCTCACTGATACTCGTAATTTAACCAATCCTAGTACAGTTATTTTCCTTATCGGGAATAAGTGCGATTTGGAGGCTCAGAGGGATGTTACTTACGAGGAGGCCAGTAAATTTGCTGAAGAGAATGGGCTGTTGTTTGTTGAGGCCAGTGCAAAAACGTAAGTGGTTTTGTTTATTTGTAGTAGTGACTTTTTCATAGTGTGAGTTGTTCTGAAGATCTGTTAGAAAGTTCAGGAAAATCGCAAAATTATCAATACATGTGACATTTCAGAGTGAGTTGTTCAAGACAAGAGAGGAAAATTATGGTTTGGTGAAATAGCTCGAAGAAATTGTTCAATATATTTTCTCCTTAGAGACAGTTGACTTTCCATTTCTCATTATTTCATCTAAATAATTTTTTGTTTATTCCAAGTTCTTGAATTTTCCTCATGTTTCCCTTCTTTAAATAGAAAAAAAGGAAGATTCAAGAACTTGGAAATGACATCGACATACATTTTGCCTCATAACTTTGTTAAATTGAATCTGATTTTAACGTAATTAGGGCCAAATACTTAAGCTACAAATAACTAATTTCTATGATTCTTTCAGTGGCGATAACGTAGAAGAAGCCTTTTTGGAAACGGCCAAAAAAATCTACCAAAGCATCCAAGACGGACGATTAGATTTGAACGCGGCCGAATCCGGCGTGCAGCACAAGCCCTCTCAACCCGGCCGCAACAATTTGTCCAACGACCAACAAGCTAATAAGGACAATTGCGCATGCTAGTTTGTCCAACTCTAGGTACACAATTTGGAATCTCTTGTTGTTGATTGGGTCATTTTTTGGAAGGGGTTTTAATTTTTAACCAGCTAATAATAAAATACTTGCTTATTTAAGCGAGTCATCACTCTTGTTAATTTAATAAAAGTATTTTGATTTTGAGGTTACAACATCAATTATAAATTGTTAGTGTTGGGATTTTTTCCTCGGCCAATAATGATGTTAGAGTATTATTTATCTAGCCCACATAATGTTTGTTTGATTCCAAAAGCGTTTGTTTAAATTAAGGTTTATTTTTCCAATAATTAATATATTGTTTTTTTATGATTTTCATCAAAAAAAAAGTAGCTATAAGATATTAAGTGTTTTATTTAGGTACGGTTTATTCATCTTCAGATAAACTAGCTAGTAACTATCTGCAAGATAAATTCACCGTTCTATAATTCTGTTGGTCCATGAATAACTGGCCAACCAATGGGATTATAGATTGCGTTTTTATCTGTCAGATTGCATACCTGACAATTTATCAGGTGAATAAATCGGCCCTTGAAATAATAATTATTTGTTACATCTTAGGTATTAAGAGAAACTTTGTATGCCTCATATCTATTATTACTTGAAGTACCATTATTTATTTGAATTTGTCCATTCCAAAAATTATTATTGGCTTCATTTTTCACTTACGAACAGGCAAAATATAATTTAAATTGTTGAGGCATTAAGCTTAAACTTAGGGCACGTTGCATTAATGTAATACCGTTTTATCTTTGTTTGCATCGCAGCCTTATTTTAGTGATGAATGTTTGTATGTGATTTGTTTACTATATTATAAAGAGAAGAGTAAAACTATTGATTAAAAACACTATAAGTTAAGATAGGGGTTGTTTTATTACTCACTTAACGTTTTCTTGCTTAGGGTTATTGACAATAATTGTTATCCGATTTTGAAGCAACAAAGTTTGTCAGCGAAGATCGCTTTTTCACTCTATATTAGGAAGGTCGGATCCAGAAGAGACATTGTTAAAACCCTAGACATGTAACTATTATATGTCTATGGTCAAAACTTTCACATCAAAGTTATTGATGAATTGACACAGTGAATGTTGAAAAGTGTTTTTGATTATTTGGCTATCTGAAGCTAATCAAGGCCCAGTAATAGTCCAATTTTGGATTATCAGACTTTTGATTTCGCGAACAATTTTTCCAGACGAGCCGGTAATAGTCCAAAACCTGATTATTTAACATTTGATTTCGCAAAAAATTCTGTAAAGGTTATCAAGGCCCGGCAATAGTGCAAATTTGGATAATTTGCCTCTTGATTTCGCGTACACTTAAATTCTTCTAGAGATAAACAAGAGCCGGTAATAGTATAGTCTATCGATAATCAAATGAGACAGTAAAAAAAAAAAAAAAACTCCTTTGCCGGTCAGCGTTTTCTTTAGGAAGCACGAGCGGAGTAAGAGAAATTTACTAAATCAGTTTTATATAAAATAAGACATAAAGCACGATACAATTTAAATAAGAATCAAAATCAAATTTATAAAAAAAATATCTACTGCACTGTCTTTCCAGACGAAACTGGTTCCTGTGCGGCAGGCGCTTCAAAGAAATATGCTGCCAGAGACGTCGCTAAAAAATCTAACCAATAAGATGTTCCTGGAGTCAACATTGCCTGCAATAAAAGCTCTAGAAGAACCAATAAGATGCATTGTTTGCACGTGGGTGCGCATCCAATGTATAGTAATTTTTACGTGCAATACGATAATTTGGGGAGACCCCAATTTTTGCCTTGTCTCATTTGCGAAATGATAGACTATACAAATATAGAATTTCTCTACAGGCGATCAAGAAGTCGGTATATAATAGTCCAAATTTGAATTATTTGGCTCCAGATTTCGAGAATAACTTGTCCAAAGGTGATCAAATTAGATAATAGTCCAAATTTTGGTTATTTGGCTCTTGACTTTACGAGTAATTAAGTTTTCCAGATATAATAAAGAACCAACAGCTTATAGTTCAAATTTTTATAAAGGTAGAAAAAAATTACAATAGAGGTGATCAAGATCCACTAATAGTCCAAATTTTAATTAGGTATATTATGGCTTTTGAATTCGCAACCAATTTCTCTAAGAGGTAATCAAGAGCTTGTAGTAGTTCAAATTTTGATAATTTGGCTCTTGATTATGGGAACATTAGAACATTTTCTTCAGAGATTATCAAGAGCCGTTAAATATTCAACATTTTGATTATTCGGCTCTTTTTCGCGAAAAATTAATTTAACCACAAAATGATCTAAGACTTTGGTTCAAAATTACATCGAGACCCCCGCAATGTTCCAAAGGATAACGCACACCTAACATGGGATTTTTGGGCTCTATGGATTTTGCCCACTTTTTGATATGTTGTAGAGGCTTTAATTCTTAACATCCTTTAAATGGGACGAAATCTTGTAGGTATTACGGTCTTTGCGATATGTCCAGAGATAAGATATGTCCGTTGAAAGATGAACTTTTTTGCGACTTTTTGTGTGGAGAGTATACGAAAAACTGGTGTTTATCAGTCAAAATTTTGACAGGTCGACAAATTTCACGTCACTTAACAGTCAACATAGGCTAAGGCCGGGACCGCACTGGCGCCAACATTGACCCAAGTGCGAAGTGCGATCCCGGCCTTAGCCTATGTTGACATTAATTTTTAAGTGAATATGTGAATCTGTCAATATTTGACTGATAAACACCAATAGCACCAGTATCTCGTATACTCTCCACACAAAAAGTCGCAAAAAAGTTCATCTTTCAACGCTCATATCTCAAAGGCCGTAACAACTACAAGATTTCGTTCCATTTAAAGGTTTTTCAGAATTGAATCCTCTTACAACATATCAAAAAATGGGAAAAATCCATAGAGCCCAAAAATTCCATGTAAGGTGTGCGTTATCCTTTGCCATAGAAAGTGCTTCATTTTGGCTTTATCCTTTCAAGCAGTGTTGTCAGATGTCAAATTTAAAATGATCAAGATTTGAGAACAAAATTATCAGATTCCAAGAAAAATTATCAGAAAAAGTTTCTGTCAACTTTTTTGACTTTTTATCTCTATTTTGATTTTTCGGGTTCTAGCTGGGACTCTGGCAATTGTAGCTCTCAATAAGAGCTTCAAAAAAGGTTATTCAAGATTTCGAGCCCAAGGGCTTCGTTTTCAAGATAATCGGCTTTGCAAAAAAGCTTTTGCAAAATTTGAGACAAAGTTTTGAGCCTCAATATCTTCAAAAGTATCAGTAATCAGCAATTTTGTGAAAGGATGTCAGATTATTGAAATTTTTTGAGCCCAAAAATTGCAAATATCGTTTTTATTTTTTTACAACCCTTAAAACCCTAAAAACAAAGTTGCGTAAATGCTTTTCCACTAATTTTCACCTCCTCTTTTGATTAGTAAAGTCAAAAAGTGCAAAATCCAAAAATTTAAAAATTCAAACTTTTCCAAAGGGGTATGCATAGAAATTGGATTTTCAAATATTTCAAATGCTTGTATTTTGGAAACCAGTAAAGCTATTGGCATGAATCTTTTGTCCAATTGTAGCTCTTAATAAGGGCTATAAAAAAGGTCATATAAGACTCCGAGCCCAAGGGCTTCGTTTTCAAGACAATCCGCCTGAAAGCTTTTGCAAAATTTGAGATAAAGTTTCAACTTTGAGCCTCGATATCTTCAGAAGTATTGAAGATATAGAATTAAATCTTATTTTATCTTGAAGATAATTTAATTTTGATTCAAAATATATAATTTTACATTATATTTGTTACAATAATAACCGAGTAATGAGCAATTTCGTTTTCAAAGTCTATACATGTTGTTTGTAACTGTGACATTAGCACTATAAAAAAGTCTATTGGACGTTCTAGGATACTTTAGAGGACGGCCAGTAGACGTTCCAAAAGATCTTCGAGAAACGTATTTTTTCAAACAATCCCAATAAAACGTCCGTTTTCGACGTCAATATGACGTTTGAAGTTGTGAAATTTGCATTGAAAGCCACAAAATGGTTGAAACTTGATACTTTCGATACGATACGATACTTTCGGAAACGTTTTTGTCCAAAATTGCATCAAAAACAACAAAACTGTTTGAATTTGTCCTAGAAGAAGAAGTGCTTAATTTTTTCTTTCTCCATTAAAATATCAAGAGGAATCCTCCAAAATCAGTAATAAATTGCATTTCAAAAACATATTCTGCGTTTTTCCTCTTCTTTTCAATCGAAATCCACTCAAAGTAGTCTGATAAAGTGCGCGATTGACTGAGAAGCAACGTAAGTTGGAGCTAATAGCAAAGCTAATAGTCATGCAGATCTTTTGGTGGATGTACCTACGTTTGCACTCAAAGTAGATTTCCTTATTCAAAAAAGAGTAAAGCCAGTGTTTTGTCCCAAATGACCAGTAGCTTATGCGGTAATGGATCAAAGCGATAAGGAACTTATAGAAGATTGCAAAATTTGCCCATCATATCCAAAGTGGAATATTTTGACTGGGCAGAACCAATTTAGTTGTTTCCAGAGAGGCTAACGGAAATGTGAAAATTTGTGGGAATTATTTTACTGGAATAAATCAGGAAATCACATCATTGTCTGTTACCAACTGCTGAAGAAATATTTCTCAAACTTGCATACGCCATCGTATTCAGTATTGAAATAGATGAAAATTTCAAATAACCATTATTACAAATTAAAGTCTATTTCAATATACCTAATAGAATGCCGTTTGGTATGAAAGTTGCACCGTCTATGTTTCAACAGATTATGGTTACAGGATAACAATATACTGCAGCGTACTGCAGCATATATCGATGATATTTTGGTTTCTGAACAGAATTTTGATGAACATCATCAAAACGTTTATATAGTTTTCAAGCGAATTAAAGATTTCAGTTTTCATATGAAAGTTGAGAAATGTATGTTTGACGTTAAAGAAATTCTATATTCGGGGGATATTCTATTCTGAAGATAAAGAATAAAGCCAGACCCTTTGAAAACATCAGAAGTTATTCAGCGAATGCCATCACCTCACGATGTTTCGTTGTTGAGATCATTTCTTGGAGCCCTAAACTACTATGGAAAATTCATCAAGAGCATTAATACTTTGAGAAACCCATTGTGAAGAAAAATGAGAAATTTTAATGGACAGAAGACTTGAACAGTTTCAGAAAATTCTTCTACTTACTCAGTACAATCCACAACAACAGATCATTGTAACAGCAGACGCAAGCAATCTGGATATTGGAGGATGGATTTTTCATAGGTTTGAATATGGAACAGAAAAAGTGATCCATCATGTTTCTAGACCTCTGACAGATACACAGAAAAGATACAGCCAAATTGAAAAAGAGGCTTTAGCATTGGTTTTTGCAGAGTTAAGAAATTTCAGAAGATGATATACGACAAATTTTTCATTGTACAAACTGATCACAAACCATTATTAGCAATTTTTGGATAAAAAAAAGGAGTTCCTTTATACACAGCAAACAGATAGCAAAGTTCTTGTGTGAAAAGCATACGATTTTAAAATTTGTGGATGAGAGAGAAGATACAGTAATTACTTCTGTGCAAGTTGAGTCGGAGGTTTGTCATATTTTCGATGAAGCTGCAACGTGTTTTCTTTGGTGCTTGTCAGCTGTGGCAAGCTTATCGGTCAGGTAATACTTTTCGGTCAATTTTCCATCGGTTTTCTCGGGCGCCACCCTCGGGATTAACGTGGTCGAGGGTCCACGGGCACCAGGTAGCTTGTTACAGTGGAGAAAGAAAAACCAGGGGTCAATGCGCAGTCAGTTCAGAAATAAAACTCATGATGATGGTTTACAATAATATTATCCATAATTTATTCTCTTTAAATCGGTACGGTACGGAATAAACAAGAGCAACCAATTAATAACATCTCTGGCTAAATAATAATTATCGGACAGGTAGAGAGAGAAGGGGAGTAGAGTGTGTAACGAGTGAGCACGAAGAAAAGCGTGGATTACGGTGTCTTTGCGAAATAGAGAAGTTCGGACGGTAACGGCAACGGTAAACGGCAACGGTAACGGCAAACACCTCGGTTTTAATGAGTTAAGCAATCGGTTTAATTAGAAAGAAAGAGAGAAAGGCTCCGGACAAACCATGTTTAATTATACGTTCGCCCTCTTCAAGTCGTTTGTCTATGCTAATACAGCGCATGCACGAGTTATGAAATCGGTTAGGATGCAAGTACCTCTTTGTCGGACACGGAGAGAGACAAGCGCCAGGATACATCGCCGTAACCGGGATCCAGCACGATGGATCCTGCCGCTTGGCACAGAAGGTATGGCTCCACCCTGTAAACGGGACGCTGTGGTGGCGCCATACAGTCCGTGTTTTTAAACGGAGAAAAGAAAGCAATGGGAAACATCGCCGGAACCGAAACACAGCACGATGGTTCCCATAACCTGGCACGGGCAGAATAGCTACACCCTGTAAACGGGACGCTGTGGTGATGCCATTCAGCCCATGTGATGTTGAGGTCGAAAAAGGTTGGCGAGAAACATCGCGGGAACCACAGCACAGCACGATGATGATTCTCACAACTCGGCACGGAAAGAATAGTTCCACCCTGGAAACGGGGACCGGAGGTGGAACCATTCAACCCGTGTTCTGGTTAGCGGGGTACGGAGGCAAACGGTAATACCTGCATCTATAGACTTTGCCTGCATCCTCAAATAGCGGCGTCGGGACGGCTGAAGACGGCGGCGGCGGCCGGTTCTCACCTGAATGACTCCAAGAAGGTGAGCGGGATCGGTTTTCGGGCTCGACTGGTTGGTTTCGGGTCGGTATCGGTAATGATTCTTATCTGGTGCTGTAGATTGACTGGGTTCGCGCGAGACCACGCGAGATTCATTCGACACGTTGTCGAGTCGGACGGTTATGGTATAAAGGAAAATTATTTCCACAGGGAAAACCAATGTTTTCGCGACAGAATAAATCCACTGATAATAGCGTTATAATTTAACCATTTAAGCTCGAAAAACAACGACAAATTTCTGATGCAAAATACGGAAGTTACGGAAAAAGGTAAAAATAAAGTAACGGTCGTTACAAAGCTCTGAAATCATTACCAAAAATATTTATCAGGAAACACGCAGAAGCAATGTTTTAAGAAATATTTTACACTATGGCCTTTCAAACATCAACTCAATGCAGATGAAATCAAAGTCTATGAAATGAAGTTTTATTCACGATTTAATTATAGTACGAGGATGTTTGATGTTCGGGAGCCGAGTACCAAAAGTTCATTGTTATCAAGTACTTAAACAGTTAGGTACATCAAGGATATTCTGGACAAGCTCGTATGAAATCAATAGCAAGAAGTTATGTTTACTGTTCCAATATTGATGATGATATCATTGATATCACAATATTTGTTCAAATTTGCTCTTCATGTGAAGGAGTTGCAAGGACACAAAGAAAAGCGATATCACTATCGAACAGAATGTTTAGGAGAGACTTCACATACGACTATGCAGGTCAGTAGATGGAAATTATTATTTGGTAATCATAGATGCCATTTCCAAATGGCCAGAAGTTTTCACAACAAGAAATATAACTTCAAAATTCACGATTTTTGGCTCTTAATTCCCTGAACAATTTGTCCAGAAATAATCAAGACAGGGTAATAGTCCAAACTTTGATTATTTATCTCTTATAATTCACTTGCACAGAATGTTTGGGAGAGACTTCACATAGACTATGCAAGTCCTGTGAATAGAAATTATTATTTGGTAATCATAGATGCCATTTCCAATTGGCCAGAAGTTTTCACAACAAGAAATATAACTTCAAAATTCACGATTATGCAGTTAAAAGAAATTATTTCCAGATTCGGAATTCCTAATACTATTGTATCTGATAATGGTTTACAATTTACTAGTAAAAATTTTTAGAATTATTGTTTAAAGAAGGGCATTCGACATATTTGCACAGCTCCATACTCATCATAATCCAATGGTCAAGCTGAATAAAGATTTGTGGATACATTGAAAAGAGCATTAATGAAAATGAAAATGGAGGACCAGCCAGAGGAAGAAAATATAAGCCATTTTCTAGGAGCATATAGGTCTACATCAAATGTCAGTTCTCCAGATGAAAAATCCCCAGCAAAATATTTATTGGGAAGAAAAATGCTGATGCCACAAGACAAATCAAGCATTGTATTGTAGATGAAAAATACCAAGAATCACAAGATAGAAGAAATATTCCCCATGATGATCATTACTTTCATCATTATAGAGAATTTCAACTAGAAGCTTTGGTTATGCAAAAATATTTAGAAGAAATTCTTATACTTGGATGCTGGAGGTAATCATTGAAAAAATTGGAAATATTATGTATAATGTATGTCCATGTACCAGGTGATCGTCGACGTCTTTTCAGATTACATGTCTATCACCTGAGAAGGAGACATATCTATAATGATCAGGTTGATGAAATCAACAATGGAATTCCACTATACAGTTGTTATTGGATACTTTTAAAATAAATAAATATACCAAATCATGACCCCACAAATAATAGGAAATAGGAATGAATATGGGGAGAATTCATCAATTCATTCTACTTCAACATCTAATGGGTTTGCAGAAGATGTGAACATTTCAGAAGAAAATGAGCAAAATGATGACACAAAGAATTCTAACAACAATGGAGCCTCAAATGAAATAGAGGATTTTAAACACTGAAGCAGCAACTCCTAGATTTAGAAAAAAACACAGAATGCCAATATTTCTAAACGATTTCCTTTTAGACTAAATGAGAGAGAAATGTAGGAGAAATAGGAGAATGGAACATATTTCTACATTGGTTATTGACAATTGATAGTTTAGGGCAGGAGAAATCATCTTCTTTCCTTACTATTTTGATCAATTGTATTTAAAGTCTCTATGTATTATTAAATATTGTACAGAACGTAGAGGGCTTTGACAGAACAGTACATATTATTAATTATACTGTAATCACAACATCAGTTACAATGGATTCGTTCAGTTCTGGGACAACTAAAGCAAATAGGTCGTATCAATTTTGGAGGATGGTGGCAGCGTGGACTCGAGGCAACACAAATAAATGCAAGGTAATCAATTTCAATGCACACCACTGCAGAAGCGTTATCGTTCAGGCATATGACATAAATCTACAGAGGGTCAAGGAAATCAAATTTCTTGGAGTCACAAATTCGGGAAAACCTTACGTGGGACTAGCATATTATTCTATTTTTGTCTAAAAAATTATCGAAGGGCCTCTTCGCAATAAATACAGCGCAGAGATTTATAGACACCCAAACAGGAAAACAGGTGTACCTATCCATTTCTTGTTCGAGAGTCATCTCCGATATACGATAATTGTATGGGGCTTTACAACTGGCAATAATATGAAAATTGACAGTGTCTGACCTCTGATTTCCGAGGCTACAAAAAGAATCCATAAAGCCCAGGCAAGAATTGACAGTCAGGGGTTGGGGTAAATTTCCACGTAAACAACAATTTTCGAATGTTAAATTTTCCATAATTATTATTATTTTGGTTGTACATTTCAACTCTTTGAAATATAAAACAATAATAGAGTGTAATAACATGAAATTATTACACTATTCAGTTTTCCTTAGAAAGTAACGTCATAATAATTATTGTCAAAAACATAAACAAAATAGGAAATACCATATACGCAAAAAAACAAAAATCCCTACACAAATTATTTGCATTATAATAATTCTTGGAAATATGTATCTCAAAACTATTTATCACACTTGATAAGCGTTCGTATAACAATTTTGTCACGATATTTATTAAGTAATTAATGTTGTTTTTGCAGAAATACATATTTGCATCATTGCATCATTCCTTTTATAGTAGTAGAAACTATAAATAATGACTTTAATATTATTTGTATCACCCTATATAAAACCACACCCATATCAATATAAAACTATTAGAAAAACATAAGGAAAAATTACACCACAGTCATAATATTATTTCTATATAATAAAGAAAACCGCGAAAAAAAAAAATTCTGCTCGAGTTACTCTGACGTTTGAAACGCGATAAGGAAGCATTTCAAAAATAATCCGATATTTGCGATATATAACTTCTTTCATCAGCCACACACGTGAAAGCTATTTAAGCAAATTCTCACTAGGAAATCTATCCAGTTTATTTCGAACAACACATTATCGACCATCGTCCAAAATATATTTCATAAAAGTTTTTAAGGTGATTCTTCTTCACAACTAGTGTTACATAATTAAGTGAATTATTATGGCTAAAACAATAACAAACGTTTTCGGAAGTGCAAATTCTAGTAGTAATTTACTGGCTTCCCCTCAGCAGGCAGTTACGAAACCAGAAGACAGGGAGATCAGTTTGCAAGAAGTCGAGTGGCACGATTCGCCCAAAGATTGCTGGATTGTTATTTACGATAGAGTTTATGATGTGACGGACTTTCTTGATACGGTAACTATTTCTTTAAATTTTTTATTTACCCTATAAATAAAGGTTTAAGATCATGGGAGGAAGGCAGTTTAAGATCATGATTCAGGCACCTACTTCTTCAACCAAACGTTTCGGTTTATTTTAAACCAATATCAGGGTTCCATAATCAATATTGTGTGGAATTTAACACTTTTATAAAACTATCAACTTCAGGAGCCTCTACAGCAGAATTGGGCATAGAATCCTTGCAAGGTTTCAAAAATTCTGAGCATTAGGATGTTTATTCTATTCTGCATATTTCATTAATTAGTCCATAAGAAGCCCTATTTTATACATCCTCATACTTATTTTTACATGGTGTATTATTATTCCATTTCAAATATAATTAGCCTTAATCCCTGTGTAAACTAATAAGGCTGTAACTGATCATTTTAAAACTCTAGCTTGCGTTTTTCACCGTTTATTGGATTATTCTATAAGTTGTGAACTGACCTTAATGTATTGTTTTCACGTTTATGTGTTTCTGCACCGACTGCACCTCTGCAGTAAATTCCGCTCCGATGTAGAATACATTCATTTGCCAAATTGACGTTTTTCCTGAATTAGGAAAATTGTGCACAAATTGGCAACAATACATTAAAGGGATGAAAATTCAAGGTTTCAAATAGCAGAAACAGCAAATAAACCTGAATGTTGTACCTACTCGATAAGGAGCTCTTGTATTCAATTTGGGGGTCCCCAGGGATGGATTCCCAAATACTCCTTAGAGTTCAAAATAAGGGAGAGCTCTTGAACCATATACCTATAGTAACATTAAAAATTGAAAAATTTTGGAAAGAGTTCTATAAATTCCAAATTACATCTTGTTGAACAATTTTTATTGAAACAATCAAGAAGGCGGCAATAGTGCATTGCATACATTAATTATTACCGGCTATTGATTTTGGGAATAATTTTCCTAGGAGTGATCAAGAACCGTTAATAATCCAAATTTTGACTTTTTGGCTCTAGATTTCCTGAAGAATTTGTCCAGGGATGATCAAGAAACGGTAATATAGTCCAAATTTTAATTATTCAGCCTCCTAAAGTAATTTAGAGCCGTTTATATTCAATTTTGATTTCATTACCAATTGCTGAATACCTTTCCTAGAGACAATCAAGATATTTTCCTCTTTCCTCAGTTGTTGAACTACAGATTACAAATTTTAAATAGTTTTCTTTACATATTCGTATGTAATACTATTCTGTTGTGGATATTACATTTTTTCAAACCTCTGCTCTGCAACATTCTGGCAATCTCGGTAAATTTCATCTTATAGTCCCTTGACACAATTTCCAGTTATTTCTGTATTTAAAAGCTTCTTCAATCTAGTCACTAGTTGCAACCTGAAGGTTACAGCTTTTTGCTACACATAAAAATATGTAATTCCAATTGCTAATAACTAACCACTCCTTTTGTAACATACGAGCTAATGTTGCTGATGTCGATGATGAGATTATAGAGTCTCGAAACATGTAAGGCACTATAAATCATTAAGGTATTTGTGGAGGAACTTTTTGTGTTTTTCTTTTGAAATCAAATTTCAAATCCACTTTGATTAAAAATAGACAAAAATTATCTATTTCAGCATCCAGGAGGTGAAGACATCCTACTAGAACACGCAGGCCGAGATGCCACAGTAGCGTTTAGAGGCTCCGGACACAGTGCTCAAGCAATTAGAGCCTTGGACAAGTATTTGATTGGCTCGTTACCTTTACACGAGAGGCTTTTCAGGAAACTCGGCGGAATCAGGCTCAGTGACATTCCAGTGTGAAAATAAATTACACATTTAATTTATTGATCGAGTATTATGTTTTTAATGTTAAAACAGTATTAGATAAATACCAGGTTTATGTATGTGTCTTGTTAAATTATTCTATAGTTTTTTTATTTGTATCCTTTTATTATATAAGATTCGAACCAACTAAGAAGAATACACAAGCATTATCGTTTGTCTCACAAGGGCTCTAGAGAAAAGGAAAGTTGCCTTCTTCGTCAGTAATGACGTCAATGGCTTCTTCTTGGCCGGTTCTCACTATACCTAATATGTTAATTCTATTTTTTCTTGGAGTAGGTACTTATCAACTAATTCTAAAAAAAAACTTGTATAACTTTTGAAGTCTTGTTTCAACATTAATTTATATTGTGCAAGCGTTTTTTTCTCAGTATTTTAATTGCAAATTATTAGTTATTAATTTATTGAAATTTGTTTGTAATAAATTATTTCGAATTTTTGATGCCTTTGTTTTTTTTTGCGCATTTTGTCATCACGTATTTTAGAATGCTGCATGACTTGCTTATTTATTTCCCAACAAATTTTAACACTTATTACAGTAGTCTAGGAAAATAGTCGAAAAATACATGTAGTGCAAAAAAAAAATTCCTACCCAAATGAACTTTTCAGTGATGATAGGGGGCGGGTGAGTGATCATAAAACCGAAAATATCAAACATTCACCCCTCTGGCGTTTTGCGCTATAGGGGTTGAAAGTGCGCCATTGGCGATTACTTGATACTTATTGATTTTACAAAAAAATGTTTCAAATAAAAGATGTGCAATATTATTTTATCTACAATGTTTATCTGAAGACTTTTTTGATTAAGGGCCGTTTGTGGTCATAAGCGCCGTTTGAAATTTTATAATGAAAATGAAAAATTTTAACCAACGTGAAAATTTTTTCTACAACACATACAACATTTTTGCCTTATGAAGTTTTTACTCACCCCCTGCCGTTTTTCAATAGGGGTAGTTTAAAGTTTTTTTATTTTTTTACAAAAAAAAATTCTTAATAAAAGTTTTATAAGATGACATTTCCTACAATTTTTCCTAATCAACTTTTTTTGTAACTCACCCCCATTCAGCGGGGGGACACTTCCCTCAGGGAAATTTTAGATTTTAGGGGTATATATTATTTTTTTTTTCTTTTCTCGCCTTTAGTGCATATTAAAAGGTGCAAATAACATTTTATTAAAAGGATTTTTTCTCCACCACCTTTTTGTTTTTAGGGGTAGTTCGCCTATTTTCATCTCTACAAAAAAAAGTTATAGAGAAAAATTGCTCAAAATAATAAAATGAACAAGTTTTCTTTATAATTTTTTTTTGTAAAGTTGAAAATAGGCGAACTACCCCTAAAAACAAAAAGGTGGTGAAAAAAAAATCCTTTTAATACAATGTTAATTGCAACATTCTATATGCACTAAAGGCGAGAAAAGAAAAAAAAAATTAATATATACCCCTAAAAACTGAAATTTCCCAGAGGGAAGTGTCCCCCCGCTGAATGGGGGTGAGTTACAAAAAAAGTTGATTAGGAAAAATTGTAGGAAATGTCATCTTATAAAACTTTTATTAAGAATTTTTTTTTGTAAAAAAATAAAAAAACTTTAAACTACCCCTATTGAAAAACGGCAGGGGGTGAGTAAAAACTTCATAAGGCAAAAATGTTGTATGTGTTGTAGAAAAAATTTTCACGTTGGTTAAAATTTTTCATTTTCATTATAAAATTTCAAACGGCGTTTATGACCACAAACGGCCCTTAATCAAAAAAGTCTTCAGATAAACATTGTAGATAAAATAATATTGCACATCTTTTATTTGAAACATTTTTTTGTAAAATCAATACGTATCAAGTAATCGCCAATGGCGCACTTTCAACCCCTATAGCGCAAAACGCCAGAGGGGTGAATGTTTGATATTTTCGGTTTTATGAATACCCACCGGCCCCCTATCATCACTGAAAAGTTCATTTGGGTAGGAATTTTTTTTTTGAAAATCGACAATTTTCCTAGACTACAGGGAAAATAAAAATAAAAATTAATTTGATTCAAGTAATAAAAATTCTTCTGGTAGATAATTGAACCCTATGCTGGAACAACGTTTCAAACGCCAAATATTGTTTTGCTAGGAATTCGTAGGGCGAGGATATACCTAAAATGTTGTTCCGCAAAAAGGACAAACTGGACATTGAAATGGCATCAACAACCCATCAAGAAAAAATCCTATGCCTCCACTATTAAGTCGGCGGCTTATCCAGGGTACGTACAATGTTGTTCGACGGAAATACCGTTTTTACACATATTGTCGTTTGCAACGTTGTTCCAGCATAGGTTTCAATTGTAGATTTGAGTGGCTTTGACGAATTTGCATAATTATGATTGAAACTTACCATTCTTTTGCAGGTTTAAATTTAATAATTTCTTGTTTTGTTAGCAGTGAATAAATAAATATTGAAATTTTCAAATTGTTTAACTTATGTAAGCTCAGATAATCAAGGGGTTTATCTACCTTCTTACTAAAACGATGAAATTTCAATTTTTTTTTTTGGTTGAAATTTTGTATCCTAATGGTCAAATAACATCCCGCAAACTCCATACACTAAATTATTCTCAGATTTGAAGCCGTTGGAAAAAGGCACTCAGAAAAATTGAAAAATTGATAAATCACCCCAAATGCTTAACAAGATTTTATCTATCAGGAACTATAAGTGCAAATGAGCTGAAATTTTCAGGAATTGTAGTCCCTTGATTGGGATAACATTCAGTGAAAGTTTCAGCTTTCTATCTATAATAGAAAAAAAGTTATGCCCTTCCAAAGTTTTCAAAAATCTAAATCATAAGGTAGTTAGTTACCTTCTTATTGAAATGATGATATTTCAATTTTTTTTTTTGTTAAGATTTTGTATCCTAATGGTCAATCAACATCCCCCAAACTCCATACACTAAATTATTCACAGATTTAAAGCCGAAATCTATGAAAAAAGGCACTCAGAAAAATTGAAAAATTGATTAATCACCCCTAATTGCTTAACACGATTTTATCTCAGGAACTATAAATCCAAATGTGTTGAAATTTTCAGGGATTGAATTCCTCTACTGGAATAAGAATCGCTGAAAATTTCAGCTTTCTATCTATAATAGGAAGAAAGTTATGACCTTTCCAAAATCTAAATCATAATAGCTACCTTCTTATCAAAACGATGAAATTTCAATTTTTTTTTGGGAGTGAACCCTACGCCTACCGGTAGGTCCTTTGTTATCCAACGATGGTACGCCTACCAGTAGGTCCTTTTTCATCCACCGATTATGCGCCTACTAGTAGGTAGGTCCTTTTTCGTAAATTGATCAAGCGCCTACTGGAAGGTATTTTTTTACTTTAGAATCCGTATATCCTACCAGTCAGCTCTTGCTGGCTAAATGCGTTAATACAATTTTGTTTGTTTGTTGAATTGTCATTAAAAAATTCGTCCACTGAGTAATAAGCCTTTATTAGTACCTAACATCTTTCTAATTTGGGCTTGGAACTTGTTGATGTTTGAAATCTGCTTCATTCTAGACGGCAACCTATTGAAAATCCTTCTGCATACACCTTGGAATTATTTTTGATTGCTCGCTATGCTGACCAAACCTCAAAGATGAGAGAATCCTCGGGAGAGCAAATCCACCAAAAACGTGAAAAACCTTTCTCAAATCTATCACCTTCTGGTTCAAATATTTTTGAGTCTGCGATTGCTCGCTCTGCTCGTAGGTGAATCCACTAAAAACATGAAAAACCTCTATTAAATATAACACCTTGAAATTTAAATTATTTTTGAGCCTTTCATTGCTAGCTTCGCTCGCCAAACTTCAAAGAGAAGCTTAAATCCACCAAAAACGTGGGAAACCTTTTTCAAATAGGTATATCCACCTATCAAACGTAAATGCATATTATATGCACACAAGGTAGGCGACGGATTCTTGAATTAATATGAACCTACCGGTAGGATCAGGATACTTTTTACAAACAGTACCTACTGTTTGCGCCGCTTATGAATTGAACTTTAAATCCCAACCATCAATGTCAATTCGACTTTTTCAATAGAAACAGTTAGCACCAGTCGGCAAAGAAGAGACATTGACATTGAATGATGAGCAGCATTTTTTTTTTTGATTTTGAATCTAGTTTGTAAGTTTTTTCTTTGTTAGACGATTGCTACGCAACTAAAAAATGATTATTATAATTATAAAAAAAAATTGATGCACTTATGGACGTCTCGTCTGATTCAATTGATTATACAACTCACTGTACATTATTCCCATATGACACGACAGGATTAATAAGTGATAATCCTTCCCATATGACACGAGAGGCTTAATAAGTGATAATCCTTTTGCACGGTAACTGGTGTTTTGAAATTTTTTGACAAAAAATTTAAATTTTTGATTCGTGAAATTATTAATTAATAAAGAATTGAAGTTTAGTTCGTTGTATAACCTTTTGAATACCACTCGATGTTTCAGGATTACCTAATACTAAAATATTGTTGATTGACAAGAACATTAGATTGGATTTTATACAAAACAAACACCATAGTGCCTGCATTTTGGTTTTAGCAGGAATTCAAAAACAAATAAGGTAGTGTGTTCTTTTTGGTACTTCCCAAAACCGAAATTTGGTATTTTGACAATTTTAATCTGCATTTTTAACTAATTTTTTTACAAGCTTTACGCCACTATTCCACCTTTCACAATTTTAAACGATTGTACAAGCTACTAAGCTGTTTATTTAACGATTTTATATATTATTTTTACAAGCAACAAAGTTAGTATTTTGCCATTTTTAGAATTTTGACGTTACTAGACAACCAGAACTAGCAATTTCCAACTTTTTGACAGGTTTATTTGAAGTTTTACGGATTTGATGACTATTTTTTCTAAAATTTAATACCTACTCATCTATTTTGAAAAATGGCTGATGAATTGAAACACGACAAAAGGAAAAGAAAAATTTTAAAACAGGCTTTTACACGATTTGAAACGTACTTCAATGCATTGGATCTTACGAGCAATACGTTAAACTTAGAGGAGTTGCGCAGTAGGTTAATCAAGGCTGAGCCTGCATTGGATGAATACGAGGTTATACAGCAAACTATTGAACTGTTAGACGACGATTTTGATGTAAATTATGTCAGAATTCACGAGCCTGAACGGCAAGCTTTTGAAACACAATATTATCGAACAATTTCAGCTGTTAAATAGTTTCTACAATCAAAATCGCATTTACCAGTAAATAATATGAATCCCAATGCTACTCAACTTGGCAACACTGTGTAATTCCCGGAGGATAACTTACCTTCATTGAATGTACCGACATTTGACGGGTCACTAGACCAATGGCTGAATTTTCGTGATACTTTTACTTCAATCGTACACAGTAAAAATATATCTAAAGTACGAAAATTTCATTATTTGCGCCTAGCATTAAAGGGCGACGCTGCTGACGTCATACAGTCACTACAATGTTCTGACGTTCTGACAATAATTATAACGTTGCCTGGTCC